TATGTGACTTCTCAGATGGCGTACGGAGATGTTTGGGCATCTAGTGAAACGCACTTGTGCTCACGTGAATTGGCTTCTTTCAATGCTGGCCTTAAATTTTCTGGTGCTCAGTTTCAGCCATTGGTAGGAGGGCATCCTGTCCCTGATTCTCATAGCAATGCCGGATGTTGGAAAGGAGTTGTGGTTCTTGCCAAAACGCCGGTCAGGAAGTTACCACATGATTGGCCGATTGAGATTGCACAGTCCAGCAGGGCCTTAGCGGTTACAACAATGCTTGATGATGTTTGGCTTACAGGCGGGGTCGTCTATGGAGAACCTGAGAGTCATCTTTATCCTCATAGGTTGCGACATACTGAGGCTCTGTTGCAGGCAGTTGTGAGTTCCATCAGTTTTCTTTCCTCTGGGCCTCGCTTCGTGGAATTACCAGTGTTTGACATGCTCTCGAAGGCGGGATTTCGTGATCTCCAAGAGTTGGCTGAAGAGAGGTGGGGCATCATGCTTCATTTCGCCTGAATTACAGTCCCTGTTGCAACATGTTTCTGTGATCAGTGATGTTTGGCCGGACCACGCAATCTTGCAGGGGCACTTTGCCCGACTCCGCACATCGATTCCTAGAGACATCTGGAGAATGCCTGGACAGTTTCCTTGGCCTGTGCATTGGAATGTTCCTGACGATCTTTGGCAAAGGCTGCCTGGTACTTCATCTGAGAAGTATGCTGCCTTGTGGACTTATTTCGAAACCCAAGCTGCTCGCACTTTGCCTTTTGTCCCAGGTAAACAAGTTAGAGGGAGAGGTTGCACCACTGCGCCTGTTGCCAGACATGTTGGTAGATGCCCACCATTGCAAGCTGGTAGGACCGGTGATTTTGCCCCCAACTTTTTTGGTGCCTCGTTTAGACATGCTCAGTGGGTCAGACAAGTGCGTAGGATCCAGGCATACATGCGCCATGTCCTTGCCCGAGGACCACAGACCCCGTATGCTTCTCAGCTGTGGCAGTCTATTTTGGTTGCAAAGGGTTTTAGTGGAGGGTTTGCTAACTGGTGGGGGTCGGTTTCTACCAAGACCTTTGGATCTCCATCTCAAGTCCCTTGGTCTCCGCCTGCATATGGGGTTGTGACTTGCATTTTTGAGACGATGGTGCTTGAGGTCCGTTCTCTTGAAGCCAGTTTGAAAGCCACTTCTTGCCAATATGCCAAGTTGCGTAGGGCCAAAAAGCCAAATGTTTTGTTTCGGGACATCAAGGAGCCTCAGCCAGGTGGGGTTGATTACTTGCTCAAACCTTTGAAGACAACGGTGATTGATGTTAATGCTGATGACGGTTCCGTGGTTGTGGACTCTCCTCAGATTTGGCCTTCTTCTGGTCAATTGTTCTGCAATGGCAAAGAGTTGGAAGTCATCCATGCTGATCACGATTGTGTGTGGGCTGAGGATGTCACTCATGTGCAGGTTGGTGCTTGTGTCACGCATCTCAGTAAGGTGGGAACCAAGCAAGAACTTTGTAATGCCTTTATGAGTGAGTGGAGTCAGCGGTGGGATCGGCATCAGCATGTTTCTCCAGAGCGGTGGCAGGTGATCTTGTCATTTGCTCGCCAGCATCTCCCACGGTGCAGCATGTCATGGCCTTCTTTAGGACCTCCTGAATTAGCTTCCTTGATTGCTCGTAAAAAGAAATCATCTGCCAGTGGATTGGATGGTGTGTCCATTGTCGATTTGCAGAGCATGCCTCTTGGGGCGCTTTCTTGTTTCTGTGAGATGTATGCGGATGCTGAATTGGATGGGTCCTGGCCGACTCAGCTTCTTGAAGGCAAAGTGGTTAGCTTGGCCAAGAATGAGTGTCCGAGTGTTGTGATGGACTATAGACCGATCACTATACTTGGTTTGCTGTATCGCTGTTGGGGGTCGTATCACTCCAGGCATGCCATCCGACAGCTGGATGTCATACTTCCCGACACACTCTATGGGTCTCGGCCATCACGATATGCAGGGCAGGTTTGGGCGCAGTTATTATGGGCTGTTGAAGAGGCCACTGCGAGCAGTATTGCCTTGTCAGGCATTTTTGCGGATATCCAAAAAGCATTCAACTGTCTCCCACGGTTGGTGGTCTTTGAAGCAGCTGCCATTGTTGGTGTTCCATTGCAGATCCTTGTTGCATGGGCCGGGGCTCTCTCCCAGTTGAGTCGCCGATTTCAGCTTGGTGCCTATTTGTCTCCACCAGTTTTCAGTTCCACAGGAATGCCTGAAGGAGATGGGTTGTCATGCTTAGGTATGGTGGTCGTTGATGTTCTTTTTCATTTGTGGCATCGGTTTTATTTTCCCTTGTGCCAGCCGGTGTCATATGTTGATGATTGGACATTGATTACAACTAATCCGAGCAAAATGGAAGACTTGTATGCGTGTTTACAGTCCTTCACAGATGCTATTGACCTTCAGATTGATGCCAAAAAGACTGCCATGTGGTCTGTGTGCTCCCATGGTCGTAAACTGATTCAGAATGCAGGTTTTGGTGTGGTTTCCAACTGCCGCTCCCTTGGGGCACATGTCCAGTTTTCGCGTAAACACACCAATGCCAATCAAATGAAGAGGGTGAAAGCGTTGCAAGGGGTTTGGCCTAGACTTCGTTTGTCTGCAGCTGCCTACCGGGTCAAAGTCCATGCCATACGTGCGGCCGCTTGGCCGAAGGGTCTTCATGCCATTCCTGCCACCACGATTGCCACTTCTACATTTAAGTCCTTGAGAGCAGGTGCAATGAGAGGGTTGGACGCTGACGGATCAGGGGTGAACTCACACATTCACCTTGGCCTTATTGAAGTTCCTGAGACGGATCCTCAATTCTGGGCAATCATGCAAACATTCAGAATGGTCCGCGACTGCGGGATTCCTGACATTGTTGGTCCTGTCCTTCGATCCTTGGTTGATGGTGATGATCGGTATGCAAGTAACGGGATTACTTCAACCTTACTCACGAGGGTTCAGACTTTGGGATGGCATGTGGATAATGATGATCTTTTGGTCGATGAGTTTGGCAGCTTCTCTTTATTTGATGTTTCCATCGAAGAACTGAAACACAGAATGGAATGGTCATGGCTTCATGTGGTTGCTTCGCGTGTTGCTCATCGCCCTGGTTTTGCTGATCTGGAGCGGATTGATCCAGGCAGAACGCGTTCGTGGCTCAAATCACTTTCTGTTGCTGACCAAGCATGCTATCGGAAACTTTTGAATGGAGCCCACATTACTCAGGATGGTAAACATTATTGTCAGGAGAGTGATACCGATGTTTGCAAGTATTGCTCATCCAGTGACTCCAGATTTCACAGATTTTGGCAGTGTCCTCACTTTGCAGAGTGTCGCCAGGGAATGTGTCCTGCTCTGTATGCAGCACTGCCGGAGTTGCCTGAATGCATGGTGTCTTATGGTTGGGCTTTGCGGCCAAGCACTTTCCATGAATGGACTTCATATATGGCTCAGGTACCGGAACAAGTCATTCCTTTTGTGAGTGGTTGTGCTGGCGAATGGGTCCATATGTTTACTGATGGTAGCTGTGCCAATCCTCAGTACCCTGAATGTTGCTTTGCTGCATGGGCGGTGGTGGTGGCAGACTCTAACATGCTCCAGCCTGCTTTCATTCTGGATTCAGGTGTTCTTCCTGGTATTCGACAAACGTCAGTAAGGGCTGAATTGTACGCAGTTCATCGTGCCATTCGATGTGCCGCAGTTCAGGGTCTTAGAGTCCATGTATGGTCTGATTGTGGTGCTGTTGTGTCCCGTCTTGGTCGTTTGCTGAGTGGTGTGAGGGTTCGTCCGAACTCTCCTAATGCTGACCTTTGGAGCCGGATCTTCAATGATCTCCAGACTCTTGGCAGACAGAATGTTTTGATCACAAAAGTAGCTGCGCACAAGAGCATTTGCCATGCCGAGTCGCCGCTTGAGGAATGGTGCTTCCTGCACAATCATTTTTCAGATCAAACTGCCGGTAGGGTGAATATGCAGAGGCCTAGGGTTTTTTGGGACCTTCTCGAACGTCATGTGCAAGCTTGTTTGTTGACGGATCGGTGGAATGTGGAAGTTCAACGAGTTCTGCTGAGTGTTAGTCAACGAGTGCTTCGTAGCGACCAGCCTGTGGCTCCAGATGAGGAGGTTCCTCTCCCTGTGGCTCCTGTGCCTTCATGGAAAGCGTTGCCTCCGTTGCGGCATCTTCCTAGTGGAGCAACACGATGGTATGGTGATGCGATTGTTAGATCAATTGTTAGCTGGTGGTGGGGAACCTTGACAGGTGCTTCTGGGCCAATTTTTTGGATTTCTCATTTACAGCTTTTCATCGACTATACGAGCTCCACAGGTTTGGAAGGGCCAGTGAAACAACAAGGTTGGAAAGAAGGGTCAACGAGCCCTTTGCTGGGGTTGCTGCAGCCGTCGTTCAAACAGCGAACAAAATGGTTTATTAAGGTTTTGAAGGAAACTTTGAGACATTTGCTTGTTCCTTTGGAGTGTGCGTATTGCAAGCCTGAGAGCTCCATGATTTCCATGTTTGTTGGATGTGTTGCGGTACCTTGGCCGCTATGTCGAATTGAGGCAGTTGATCGGTGGCTCCACCAATACACTGACCAGCCCTTTCGTCGGCAGAGCAAGGCCATTGACTCCCTGCCTGTGCCTCGGAGATGCCATTCCTTTCCGAGTGTGGATCTTACTACGTGCCAGTAGTGCGCCCGAAAGTGGGCTGCTGTCGTTCTCTACAGCAGCGCGAATCGGAAATGGAGAAATGGTGGTTTGGAACATGTTTTATTTTTCCATATATTGGGAATTTCATCACCCCAACTGATGAGCTCATATTTTTCAGAGGGGTTGAAACCACTGACCAGATTATTAACCATCATTAACCATATATAAACCATTATTAACCATATATTAACCCTTGAAACCATTGAGTTGCTTAATCCGATGACCGTAAACTGCTGGGTTTTTCCAACTCGTTGGTTTTTCCGAGACATGACGAGACACCGAGGCAAGCTGCAGGAACTTTGAGCGTCTCAACCTTCACCGCCCCGTTGTGTAATTTATTCCTGGCAGCGATCGCAGGCGAATCTTCAGGAATGGGGATGAGGATGGTGAAGCATCTGCTGACAATATAAGATGTATATATATATATATATGTATATAAATATGTATAATATATATTACAGTATAAATATATACTATATGACTATATGACATGTATGTAATTATGATTATTCACCCAAGTTGAGGGGCCATGTGTTCAAGTTGGAACTGGCAAGTGGGATGAATTTGGGTACTTTTTCCGATTATTTTCAGGTACCAATCCCATAGGATATACCCAGCTATATGCTAGTCAAGTGGCTGCCTGGGATTTTTTCACGGAACAGATTGAGGGTGGGTTTATGGTAGATCGGGTATGGTTTCTTTTTGGATTAAACGCATAGTCTCGATGTTATTCTATGTTCGTACATGTTTTTTGGATCCTGCAAAGGTATTGCACCTTATAGGTTTTTGTTCCTAATGGTTTATCTATGAAAAGTGCGTACGAGGTACCGAAATGCTGTTGATCAGCAAAAAATACACTCTGATAATCTAACATAGCGATGAAAAAGACAACAATGATGGTCAACAATGTTTGAATTTTGAATGGTGGATCATCTACAAATGGGCCATGATCATCCATTTTTCCTTACGTTAGATTAGCAGACACCATTCAGCCGTATCGCACGAGAGCCTCTTCGACCTTGACATTTCTCTGGCCACATTCAACCGAATAAACACATACCGCATCAAGCATCCTCAATGACCAGACTTGGCTGCGATTTTGAACACCCAAAAAAACAAAAAAGCCGTTGTGGCAATGACATCCTCGGTGCTTGATGGCATTGTGTCTGAAGAAATCACTTGGTCAATGCTTGTTTTCTGGGAACGGATGCATTTTCGTCTTGTTCCCAAAAAAACTCTGCCGCCGTGTCAAGTGTGCTGCTTGTTTGTTTTATTGTCGATGATTCTTGGTTTAAACCGTACGTATAGTTTATATAATTATTTTATAAATCATTGCCATGACTGGTCCCACAACACCAGGACTTTCTTGGTAAAACAAACATTTGAGTTGGTTGAAGCCGTGTTTATTTTTTGGCTGTGGTTCAAAACTTCTGTAATCGAGTAATGACCATCAAAAAAATGATGCAAATCCATATAAATCCCATGTTTGATCCGTAACCATCATCATATATCTGTGATTCATCACAGGTAGAGAGTGGATTATAAATACTGTATTTTACCAGGATCAGAACTATCAATAAACATCAATATAGTAATATACATCAATAAACATTACGCACCAAACTGGGCCTAGGTCGAAACTTAAGACCCAGCATATATTTTTTGTTAGTTTCCATCCATTCTTGAGATACACAATTTTTGATCTATACTGGACCCATGTTTGGGAAACTACAGGAATAATCAAAATGGATAGAATCCATAAGATTTCTGGTTCTTCGACCTTTTCAACCACCAATTCGAGGTCACTTAACCCCAAATTTTGGGGTCACTTAACCTCGTCACTCAACTTCAAAAAAGGGTTCACTTGAACCTGGTCCTTGTTGAACATGGAGCCAGAAACTGGGTACTGCTTGGGAGCCGTTTCTGTATGGCAGGTGCGTTCTTTTCCTCGCTGCGGGGTGCATGTTTCATCATCATCGGAGCCAGAGCCTCCGTTCGAAGCTCTGCAAAAAAAATGATCAGATCACCTTGGTCCCCAAATGGGCAATGAACCAACAAACACATGGATGTTAATTGGGGAAATTTGGTTTTAATGGGATCTGACCATCATTTTTTTGAACGTTCAATGGGAAGATGGTTGGTTTGAATATCAAAGAGCGGGGATTTAATGGGAGTGAATCAACAACATGGTATATGGGTGTGTCCAATAATTATGGGAACAAATCCACTAGTGAATCAAATTTTCCCCTATAAAGAGAATAGCGAGGGTATCCAGAATTTGTATGGAAATGTCACACAGCCCCAGATGAGAACAGATCAGGTCATTTTTTTACCCAGCAAAGATGTGGATTTTGTCTGCAAAACTGCGGATATACCATGGCATGTTGTGGAGTTTATCTTCCGGGCAAGTTGTGTTATGACACCACTGGCCGATGTCACCATGTGATGGTCAGGATCGGGGGGTATCATCCTTTCAGCATGTTTTGATGTTTGTTTTGGATCATTGCAACGCCCACACCCATAGTGACGGGTGATTACAGTATATCCATGAGACATGCTGCTATGCCTAGCATGAATGCTGATATTTTGAGGCTTATGCTATCGGGTTGAATGATGGTTCATGGATACGGATGCATTCTGGATGTTAATATTGGTCATAATCGTTTGCACTGTTTTTTTCCAACAATTCCTTCCGCCTCATAGCCCCTTGAAACCTTCAGTGCAATGGTTCAAATTTTGGAGTCTACTTGGGGTGCAATTGACGTTATTATCGTTATTAATGG